TGAATAAGGCTTGGGTTGGGATTTGTTAACAATTAACCACCAAAATCAATAACATTATCTGAATTGTTATCCTTTAATTGCCAGCTGATTTATATCTGTCATCAAATGATGTACTGTTTTAAAAAAGTCATGTTGTGAAAGCTGTCATCATTGTGATGATAGCATACACTTAATCTTTGGGGTCATGCAGTTACATTTATTAGTGGTAAGGTGTCCCCTAAGTGGACTTTAAAACCAGGCTTTGAGACCCAGAAAAGTGTCCCTTTTCCCTGAATGGAGGTGTCCCTTAAATAGAGGTAGCAGATACAAAGATTACCTGGCACATATTTTTCCAGGACCAAAAATTTGTGACCCCTTAATGAGGATCAGTTCCCTAAACAGAGGTGTCCTAAAAGAGAGGGTCCACTTTGTAACCCTGAAAGGTCACATGTGTAGCGAGGGTAGTAAGCAACAAATTTGAAGACCAGACAATAGTAACGCACAACATAAACTTTAATTGAAATAGCGTAAAAGGGGCAGCGGCTTGTAGAATGATGGATAGATGATTCGATATGTAGCTTTGCGCAGCGATAAGGTCTTGTTGCAGTGAGATTTGTTGTGGTTTGAACTAGAAAGCAAAGAAAGGAACCTAAATAAGCCGACGCCTGTGGATGGACTACTTAACCTAGACGCATGTGGCATAGAATTGCGAAACTACACAAGCACTAAAGATAATCATGCCAATTAAGATAATGAAGCTAACTATAACAATCAACTAAATATAATGGCTTACTTTAGTCTAGCTCCTAGCGGTAATAGGTAGCTGATATGTGGTGGTGAAAAGGAAAGTAGCGTTGCAACGATAAACCTCTCAAAGTACTACGTCCCTTACACAATGAAATCCGATCGCTAAACCTGTCACGCAAGTATGTACAGTTGTGCAAGAAGTAGATAATGAACGAGAACAAGACAGGAATCATGGCTAAATATAAACAAAGGAACTATTCTGGTATGAAAGTAACACACTTTTTAATGAAAAGATCAAGTAAATGGTTGAGCTATTGTGCAGAGGAAAGCAAGCATTCTTATTATCTCTTACTGGACCAGATCTCAATAAGATTTTATACAGGTAATGTTTCTATCATGTTAGGTTCAAGTTTCAATTTGTCTCATGGTCTTTGGTTCTTTTCCTCTACTGTTAGCTCTGAGAGTTTCATGCTTAATTAAGCAGTATCCCCCAATAGACATTTTTCATTTTGTCATCACCTCTCTGCTTAAAAATGTATCAATCTGGAAATGTGCTTATATATAATGAAAGGATTATAATTAACTACTACTTAACTTAATGAGTAATTTTTTTTAAATTAATTTTTGTCCCAATAAGTGTCATGCTGGAAGTGCAAAAGCTGCAATTGGTAAGTTCATATGATCACATTATAATACAAATGAATAGAAATGATCTTAAACAAATGTGTCAATAAATGAGGAACCTTTTTCATACTATTCAAATACTGCTAAGGTTCTTAGTTGCACATTTAATTACTACTGCTAAGAAAAAAATAGTCTTCTCCACCTTATACGTTTATTTATCACACTATGAAATTTTTCACAGCAAATTTTTATGGCCAGAACTCTTAAAAAAATCCCTGTGATTAATACTTTAACTCTGTGAACTTATAGCTGTAACTCATGACAAGCAGACTTGATTGAACTGACTTACAAAGTTCCTAACTTTTGGACAATGTCAGAGATTGAGTCACAAGCAAAAGGTGGCAGAAAACAGTCAAAACAAAAAGAACAGAAACTTTAATTTGCTACAAACACAGTTGGCTTTCTTTCCAGTTTTCAAAATAAACAAGTAATTCTTAATTCTTGTTGAAGCAAAATCATTTTGCTATAATTAAAAAAAAAAAAACATTAATTAATCCTTTATTGACCAAGCCGGTTCAGTAAAGATGGTTGGATATTAGCTTTGCCACAATATAATTAGCATCACAATAAATGCAAACCTATGAGTAAATACAATAAAAAACGGACTATCCAATCTATCATAACTATAAAAAAATTGGAATTTCCCTTTTTCAAACAAAAACTGATAACTATTACATCTAATTGCACCTGTGCAAGTATTCATAAAAGTGTGAGCCTCTGGGGCCTCTAATCTGTTGTCGGCAACAGACCCTCGTGTGTGAGACGAAGAAGATATTCTACAGCAGCTCGGTTTCCTGATTCCACAGCCCACATTATGGGGGTCTTATCACAACCATCCCTGGAATTAGGGTCATGACCACGGTTAACCAGCATCTCAATGGCTGCAACATTACCACTTCTTGCTGCTACAGACAAAGCAGTCAACCCTTCCTTGCCTTTGATGTGTTCATCAGCACCTCTTTTGAGCAGATAGTTAGCAGCCTCCAAATTGCCCATATTCAGGCAAGCCAGTAGTGGTGTTAAACTCATGCAACTACCTCTAACATTTATGTCAAACTTTTTTTTAGAGAGCACTGCCTCAATAGTGGCAACATTGTTAGAAAGAGCAGCTAAATGGAGGAGACCAAATTCGTTATTATTTTGAAGTAATGGATCTGCACCTTTAGCCAGAAGATAGTTTAGAGCCTCTGTATTTCCACACTTTGCAGCCATCAATGATGGCGTGTTTCCATCAGCATCTCTAGAATCAATGTAAAAACCATGTGGAAGCAGCATTTTAATGGCTGCAACAGAACCAGTTATGGCTGCAATTGACAAAGCATTCATCTCTGCTTTGAATTTCAAAGATACATTAGCACCCTTCACAATTAAGTGCTTTGCTGCCTCCAATTTGTCATTTTTAAGGGAAACCAATAATGGGGTTAAACCTCTAGTTTCGCCTCTAGAATCAATATTAAGACCTTTAGAAAGCATGGTGTCAATGATGGTGACATTGCCAGACTGAGCAGCAAAATGGAGAAGGCTCCATCCATCTTGCCCTTTCAGTGATGGATCTGCTCCATGTTCAAGAAGGCAATTTACAGCCTCTATCTGTCCACAAGCTGCAGCATAGGCTAATGGCGTGTTTCCCTCACTATCTCTTGAA